TATGAGTTGTCATCAGGGTCACCAGAACTGGTGTTTGTAAGATTTCCTCTCTATTACTGTTTTGGTGTCAACCCATAATTTGGGATTTTCTTTTGCTTTCACGTTCAATGATAATGGTAAACAGGACAAATAGAGAGGTTGAATTTCCCCAATAGAGGGACAGACAGCAATAAAAATTGATAGGTGCTCTAATCCCTCTTCACTCTATCCAAAACAAAACAAAAAGTTTTGCCTTTGGCTACACTTTAAGTAACATCTTTCTTAAAAAGTATAATAACTTTAAGTTACTTTTGAAAATAATTCAAATAAAAAACTGCATGTGAATGCACAATCTGAAGGCAATAAAGGGATATCTCTTGCAGTATACATACCTCATAAAACACTTCACTTCCATGTTCTTTAGTTAATCGGCTTACTAACTTCCTACTATATGAAGGTTCTCCCTGAGACAGGGTAATTTTCCAAGAGATAATAAAAAGCAATAGAAGTGAGGATAACTGTTCCATTTTGATGTGGTTCCTTGTGTGAACTACAAAATGCAATAATACTTGTGAATGCTGCTTATTGTATCATAATGTAACATTTGCTGGGAGATTTTAATAAGGGCAGTCTGCATAGCTGGCAAGGCCCATTGATTTTTGTCTTTGAATGATTGTTTGAACTCCCTTCCAGAAGACTGAGTGTACTAGGAATTCCTAAAATATGTGGAAGATAGTACCATCATCTTCACCACTAGCTGATTTTTGGGATGGATAGGCAGACAGAATGTAGAACACCAGACACCCTGTACTAACACTTCATTAGGTTATATCCTACTTCTTGGTGGTTGTTGCTAATGGACAATTTAAAAAATCTATTTGTTCCTGCAAAAAGTAGATTTGCATATTTGATTAGGCCTTGTTCAAAAAATAAACATTTTAAAGGATTTTTAAGGGGTCTGTGTTCCTGCTGTAGAGAGAGAGATGAGGAAGTGATGGTGGTGTAGAGTTCTTCAGAAGCCCAGGGAATAGTCCATAGGTTATCTAGTCATAACTTGCAAGGAGGGCCATGCTGAAGCCCTCCGTAATGTCACATTTTAGTTTGGCCCATCTATGTTAGGACTTCTAAGTCCATGACTGCATATAGTGGTGACCGAAAAGGTACATTTTGAGAAAAGGTGTGGCACTTTGAGAAGGCTGAAAAAATATATATACAGTATGTTTAGACTGCACATCTACATTATACATAACATATGTGCATATCCTATATTTTTTCTAGAAAATTCAACTCATGTTATACCATAGAATATAATCTCACATCTGTAAATCAAACATCACATATGTGCATAATTGCTACATCATCACAGTATTCACAACATGATTGCCATTAGTTATAGTCCCAAATTGTGAAATAGGTGCCCGTGCACGTGTTCCAGCTTGATTACAGTGCTTCACTTATTCAATTTATTTATAGTGCTCCATACATCAGTGCTCAGACTCAGAGTGCCCCACATGGGATTCTCCTTCATGTTATTTTTGTGATACATCTACTTCGAGACTGCGGGACCTGGAGACATTAATCAGCTTCATTGGGAAATGCTCCACAAGTGCTATAGACCACTCAAGAAATAGATGGTCATCTGTTGAGTATGAGTTTTAGTCCATGTGGTGCACTCTGGGCACTGATGTATGGAGTACTATAAATTAGTTGAATAAGTGAAGCACTGTAATCAAGCTGGAACACAAGCATGGTCGCCTATTTCACAATTTGAGGATATGCACATATGTTATGTATAATGTAGATACGCGGTCTAAACATATTTTTTCACATTGTGGTGGCATTGTACACCTTTAAGACTGCTGCATTAATTTTAGTATTTGGTTTGTAGTAAACATATTATAATGTATATTAATTAAGATATTGGACACATATCCATAAATGCATGATCACTATTCTTTGTTACTTTGAGAACGCTACTGGGTGAGTACCAGGTTAGGGTGAAATTTCAGGCTTCGGTGGCGGTCTGGCGTACACCATGGTGTATTTTCAAACAATAAAAGAGTAGACACGTGCATTATTTTTCCTCACTGTTTTGGGGTTCCTTATCTTCACCAGGTAACCACACAGCTTAGATGTGCAGATGGATAATAGAACAGGATATCAAGAAGGCCTAATTCACCCTGGGACTTGGGCAGGTGGAGGATGGGTTGACAGAATCTTGATGGCTTGTGAGACCAGATGAGTTTTATAAAACCAGATTTAAATGTTTGAAGCATGACCTTTAGACCCTAATAAGAAAGGCTTGTAGCAAGCACAGTATCCTTGATAAAATGTTCATCTTAATGATGTTGCATCTTCCAAATTAAGAATAAGTACCATCAGATCATGTTTGTTGCAATATCTATCTAGGTACGGCACTGTTCTGATGTCAAGTGAAAAAAATTAGAGTAAACTGGCATATGCCTCAATTTTCTAGATTTGTTTTTAAAGTGAAACATTGACCTTTTGTATAATCCAGAGCTCCCTGATAGCTTGTCTTATGGGCCCAGGATGCCATAGGCTAGAGCTGCAATTTTTCAATTAAGCCATCTTACTAATTTGGTATACCATAAACTCTGCTGTCAGAGATGCAGGTGTGACCAGAAGGGTGTGGACTGACACAGGGAAACGCAAGCTTCAGATATGATATAAATAAGACACTTTATTAAAGACTAACAGTACAAACATAAACGCAGTGCACCAAACCCCAAGCTAACACAAATACATACAACAAGGTGAAACAAACCCAAACCTAAACTGATAAAGATACACAGGTACATACACATATAGAGCACAACGTAGTCAGGCAGGCAGGGTCGATAACTATCGGGCAGGTAGGTACAGGAGGAGCAGGCGGAGAGAATGGTCAGGGTCACAAGCCAGGGATCAAACAGGAGAAGTCAGCAGAGGTCAGGATCAGGCAGGGTCGGCAACAAGTCAGGCAGGAACAGGAACAGGAATGCAGGTTACAAGGTACAGGGGCCCATGGAAAAACACACACCAAGGCACAGACTGCAGGTCTGGCCATCCCTTAAATACACCTGCAATCAGTCCCAGGTGATGGCTAATTGCCGAAGTGAACCTCTGGTTGTTGAGAGCACCCGCTGGCCAGCCCTGGTACTGCAGCCCACAAGGCAGGTGAGTCCCACCACTATTGGCAAGTCCATTCCTGACATCTGCTCTTTTGAAGATCTACATATTAAATATATCCCTGCCCACCTTTACGATTCATACCTTCAAATCAAACATTACCTTGCAATTAGACTGTCTTCCCTAACTCTCAATAGGCCCACCAAATTTTAATATTATTATTATTATACAGTATTTATAAAGCGCCAATAGTTTGCTCAGCGCTGTACATTACAGAGGGGAACAGAACATGTGACAGAACAATACCAATACAATGCAAAACATGAGGGGATCGAGGGCCCTGCTCTTTCGAGCTTACAATCTAGGAGGGAGGGGATGGTGGCACAGGAGGAGATAGCTGTGGGGGATGGAGTGGTAGGAAGAGTGGAGGAGGTTGGCAAGTTAGCAGGGGGCGGGGTAGGCTTCCCTGAAGAGATGGGTTTTCAGGGTGCGCCTAAAGGAGAGGAGAGTAGGTGATAATCTGATGGGTTGGGGCAGGGAGTTCCAGAGGATGGGTGACACCCTGGAGAAGTCCTGGAGGTGGGCATGGGAGGAGGAGACCAGGGAACTAGAGAGAAGGAGGTCTTGTGAGGAGCGGAGTGTGCGTGCTGGGCGGTACTTGGATATTAGGTCAGTGATGTAGTTCGGGGCAGTATGGTGGACAGCTTTGTACGTCAGCGTTAGGATTTTGAATTTGATCCGTTGCGCAATCGGAAGCCAGTGGAGGGATTGGCAGAGGGGGGTGGCGGAAACGGAGCGGTTGGAAAGGTGAATGAGTCTGGCAGCCGTGTTCAGGATGGACTGAAGCGGGGATAGCCAGCGGCGAGGCAGGCCAGTGAGGAGGGAGTTGCAGTAGTCGAGTCGTGATATGATGAGGGAGTGGATGAGCTGTTTAGTGGTTTCTGGAGTTAGGAACATGCGGATTTTGGCGATGTTGCGGAGGTGGAGTCTGCACGAGTTTGTTAACCTCCTTGGCGGTGTTCCCGAGCGTGACTCGGGGTTAATTTTCATGTCCAGGAGCGGTAACCCCGAGTCACGCTCGGGGTAAAGTGCAGAGGATACAGCGGACTTCCCCTACCTTCTCCCCGCGATTCCCCGCTGTGATCGCCGGTGAGAACGCTGCCCGGCATCTGACTTCCTGGTTCCTCTCTCTGCGAGCAGCCGCAGTGCAGGAGAGAGTGGAACTGGGAGGGAATATTAAAATTTAAAGTGACACACACACACACATACATATAAAAGAGATGATACATTGTAATCTGAGAGGATTACAATATATCACCTCAGATCACCTCAGATCTGACATTTTACTGGCATTTGTGCCCATAAAAATAAAACATGGCATCAAAAATGTCCCCATTTAGGTCCAAAGCACTTTTAGACCAACTGAGTGACATCGACAGCGACGTGGAGTCGTGGGGAGATTTGTCGTCTGACACTGACACCGATCTGGCAAGTGACAGCGACGATGATCCTGCTCCTGACCTCAGCAATGTGCGCACTTGGTGCCCTATTGCCTGCGATACGGACCATGTAGCGCCCCCAAGATTCCCATTTATTGGATCACCTGGGATGAAGGTAGATGTTGAGCGTAACAACCCTCTGGCCTACCTGCAATTATTCCTCACTGAGGAGATAATTGAAAAAATTGTCACGGAGACCAACCGCTACCAAGAGCAGCAACCCGCTACACTGCAAGCCAGGTTTTCCAGAAACCGAAAGTGGGATCCGGTGAGCAGAGAGGACACCTGGAAATTTCTGGGACTCATCATTCTGCAGGCGTGATAGGAAAACCGCTCCAGAAATGGTACTGGACCACCAATAAATTACTGGCCACTCCGGTTTTTGGCACCGTTATGTCCGAATATCGGTTTTCCCTCATCATGAAGTATTTACACTTCACTAACAATGAGGAATTTGATGAGGCCACGCATCCTCAGCCCAAACTTAAAAAAATCTGGGAGGTGTACCAAAATATTGTGTTCAATTTCCAGCGGACCTACGTGCCAGATAGGGACGTCAGTGTGGATGAAAGCTTGATGGCCTACAAGGGTCGCCTAAGCTGGATCCAGTACATAGCGTCCAAAAGAGCGCGGTTTGGCATCAAATTCTACATGGTCTGCGAGTCATCTACCGGGTACATTTGGAATTCGGTCATTTACACTGGTAAAGGCACGCAGTTCAACCCCAGGTACAGCGACTATGGGATGGCCACATCATCTGTCCTTACACTGCTGGAGCCGTTGCTGAACCAGGGATATTGTGTGACCACGGACAACTTTTACACGTCTCCGGAACTGTATGAGGTTTTGATAAAAAACAAGACCAATGCTTATGGTACAGTCAAGTCTAATCGACGTGGCATGCCATCTACGTTTGCCCAGAAACAACTCAAAACCGGAGAAATGGTTGCCTGGCAAAAGGGTAAGATGATGGCAATGCGATGGCGAGACAAGAAGGACGTGTGTCTTATGAGCACTGTGCATAATTTGTCCACTGGCATGGCCCACACAAGAGGTGGGAAAGATGTGCTGAAGCCGCAACTCGTGATAGACTATAATAACACCATGGGAGGTGTGGACAGAGCCGATCAGGCAATGACATTTTATCCGGCTATGCGCAAACAGCAAAAAAAATATTATAAGAAGATATTCAGGCATCTTCTTGAACAATGCCTTTGGAACTCGTACATCCTTCACAGAGCAAAGAGTGACAAGCCTCTTATTCATTCTGAGTTTATCTGGAAGGTGGCTGAGCAGATTTTTATCAACTACCAAAGCCATCAGTAGCCATGAACAGATCTGGACGTCGTGCTGTTGTCAATCCAGAACGCCTGACTGGTCGCCATTTCATGGACTACAACCACAAAAAAGGCAGCACCTACCAGGATGTGTGTGGTGTGCTGCTCAAGGAGAGATGGCAATGGAAAGAAAGTTCGAAAAGAAACCAGATTCCATTGCCCTGACTGTGACGTCGGATTGTGTGCAGTGCCATGTTTCAAAATTTATCACACTCAGGATGTTTACTGAATTTTCTTTGTTTGACAAATTTCATTATTTTTTATTACATTATTGAATAAAATTATATTATTTATTAGATTATAATTCATGATTTTGTGTTTCATACTTTATCACATCCGGGTTGTCTACTAGAGTCTTCTTTGCTCAGGTTTAAGTAAGTAATTACTAAGAATTGCAGGCCTACAATACATAACACCAAATTTCCATGCAAAAAATTGGTACCGCTTTTGGTACAAAATTCCTGACATAATCATACGGTAAAGAGTGGACTTGGGGCTGGAAGGATAGGTTGGAGTCCAAAATGACACCAAGTATTCTGGCCTGCGGGGCGGGTTTGATGGTGGCGTTGTTGGACATGATGGAGAAGTCAATGGGGGGTGGTGTCCGGGCTGGAGGGAAGACAAGAAACTCAGTTTTGGAGAGGTTCAGTTTAAGGAAGTGGAGTGACATCCAGTCTGATATGTCGCTCAACAGGTGTGTGATTCGGGCGGAGACCGAGGGGGTGAGGTGGGGGGTTGAGAGATAGATTTGTGTGTCGTCGGCATAGAGGTGGTAGTTGAAGCCGTGAGAGTGTATGAGTTGGCCAAGGGAGGAGGTGTAGATGGAGAAGAGAAGGGGCCCGAGGACAGAGCCTTGAGGGACCCCAACAGAGAGGGGGAGTGAGAGGGAGGTGGTGGCATTATAGGTAACGCTGAAAGAGCATTGTGACAGGTAGGATGAGAGCCAGGAGAGAGCAGAATCTCTGAGGCCGAGGGAGTGTAGTTTTTTGAGGAGGAGGGGGTGGTCGACTGTGTCAAAGGCCGCAGAGAGGTCAAGGAGTAGGAGCACTGAATAGTGGCCATTAGCTTTGGCAGTTAGCAGGTCGTTGGAGAGTTTGAGTAAGGCAGTTTCGGTGGAGTGTAGGGGATCGAGGAGGTTGTTGTCGTTGAGGTGAGAGCATAGGCGGGCGTAGACTAGGCGCTCGAGGAGTTTAGATGTAAATGGGAGCAGGGAGATGGGTCTGAGGTTGTTCGGGTCATTGGGGTCCAGGGAGGGCTTTTTAAGTATGGGGGTGATGTGTGCATGTTTCAGAGGGGAAAGGAAAGTGCCGGAGGAGAGGGAGAGATTGAAGATGTGGGTGAGGGAGCGTAGGATGGAGGGGGAGGGAGGTTGTAGGAGTTGTGAGGGGATAGGGTCGAGGGGGCAGGTGGTGAGGCGGGCATCAGAGAGGATCTTGGAGACTTCTTCGATGGTAGTAAGGTCAAAGGTGCGGAGTGTTGGGGGAGCTTCAGTATGAGGAATGTAGGGTGGGGTGGGAGAGGAGGTCAGAGCAGTGGTGGGGCCGTGGGAGAGGGGTGTAGAGGGGGTAGCTGAGTGAGGGGGAAGGGGGTTGGAGGGAGTTTGAGCAGCGACGAAGTCCCTGTGGGTTATGTCGAGGGGGAGGGGGGATGAGGGGGTAGCTGTGTGAGAGGGGACGGGTTGAGAGGGCGTGTGAGTTGCGGCAATGTCCTTGCGAATTGTGTCAATCTTGTTTTTGAAGTGATTGGCAATCTCAAGGGCAGTGAGTGAGGTGCTGGGTGGAGGTGGGGGTGGCGAGAGTAGAGAGTTGAAGGTGGAGAAGAGTCGGCGAGGATTGAAGGAGAGGGCCTTGATGAGGGTCAGGAAGTAGGCTTGTTTGGCAGTATGGAGGGAGGAGGTGTAGGTGTGGAAGGCAGATTTGTATGGAGTGAAGGCTTGTTGGGATTTGGTTTTGCGCCATAGTCGCTCCAGGGCACGCAATATGGATGCAATATGTATGCATCCAAGGCCCACACCAATTGCATTTGATTTGTTCAATTTCTTTTGTTCCAAAAATACTTTATTTTTATAAGAAAAGACAAAAAAAAAGCATTTATAGCATGTACAGTCATAAATCACAGTCAAAACAGCGACATAACATGTTGCTTCCCGTTTCGCAGACGGGGCAAATTGTAAACATTCGTACAAGACGAAGTGGTGTAAAACATTACATCAATAAAAACAATGCAAAATGGTGGATAACAAGAGGCAAATGGGTGAAGTAGTGTTGGTGAGTGTTATCTCGTCTTGACTCTCGTCAACTTTTTACTGGTAAGGCAGTGTGATGATAGGGGTGGGGAAAGCATTGGATATTGTGACGGTCATTGTTTACATATTCATAACTAGAGTATATGCTATGGTTGAAGTTAGTCATAACTGTGTTCAGGTAAATGCTCTACTTGGCTGGTAGAGACTAAGTGATACAAGTAAATAACAGGTGTGAAAAAAGGAGGTCAGAAAGGAAGACAGAAAGAGAGAGGTTGGGGGGGGGGGGGAAGGAAGGAAAAAAAAAAAAAGGGGGGGGGGGGGGGGGGGGGAGGTTGTAGAGAAGGGATTACCTCCGCATGTATTAGACAAGCCAGACAGGTATTATTATAGCTTAAAATATACGTACAGGATCGTTCAGTGGGGTAACCCGTGGATCACGAACCCCAAAAGGCATACTGACGTGTAGATCGACAGACCATCCTTATGTGTGAGAGAGGTGTCTTCAGTTATCAGGGTATTTCCCCCTACAGCATTGTAAATAGACATTCAGCCAGAGGGTTTCTGTTGATCGTGTACTATTAGGTGATAGGTAGGTGTGGATTTGAAATGACTCCAGCATGCCCATGTTTTTCTGAATCTCTCGGGATGTTCCTTAGCTACAGAAATCAATTCCTCCATTTCCTCAATGTTGTCGATCCTAGCAAACCATTCTCGTATAGTGGGAACGTGTGTTGAGCGCCAGTGGACTGGGATACATTGCTTAGCAGCATTTACCATATGCATGGCAAGTGATTTGCGGTAAGTCCGAAATGGAAATACGGTATGATGGAGTAGAAATTGCGCGGGGGAAAGCTCTAGGGCATACGTAGTAACTTGTGCAATTGTGTATTGGACCTTCCCCCAGAAGGGTTGCAACAATGGACAGTCCCACCAAATGTGTAGGAGTGTACCCGTCGTTTGATGGCATCTCCAATACAAATCTGATACGTTGGGGCTGAAACGGTGAAGCAATGATGGAACTCTATACCATCTAGAGTACACTTTAAAGTTTTTTTCTTGCGTGGAAACACAGATAGACCCTTTGTGTAGGTGTTCATATATGTGGTCCCAGTCTTCCGGCGATAGTTGGAGTTGAGAGGTCAAGCTTTCCTCATTGAGAGGTCATTGGTGTTTTCTAGACAAGAATAAAGCCGGGAAATAACATGTCTCTGGGGAGAGTCCGTTGCGCAAATTTTCTCAAAAGGAGTCAAATTTCTAGTGTAAGCTTTTAGATCTGGGGAGCTGTGGATGAAATGGTGGAGTTGTCTATATATCCATTGCCTTAAGATCCGGGTAGGCCATTTATTCAGCAGGAGGCCTTTGGATAAGAGCACTCCGTCTTTAAAGAATTGGTGCAGACTCAAGCCATCTGTGGGGCCAGATCCCACCAGAAAGGCATGCGACATACCCGGGGGGAAGTCTGGATTCATTCTGACAGGAGTGAGTGGACCCGGGATGGATGAGAATGCTGTATTCTTGTCGATCTGGTGGTAACAGGACAAAGTAGGGCCTATAAGAAGGTGTTCCTTGAGCTCACATGGAATGTGAGATTTTTGTAGCCAGGGAGAAGTGGCAAGTGGGGTCTCCGAAAAAGCAGCTTCCACTTCAACCCGGGCCTTATGAGCTTGGTTCGTGGACCAATCAACTATTCTTGCCATTTGACATGCTTGGAAAAAATCGGGAGATGTCAGGTAGCCCTATACCTCCACCTGTTTTAGGCATGGTTAGTTGGTCAAAACCAATTCTAGGGCGTTTATTGCACCATAGAAACGAGGTACATAATGTTTTGTAAGACTTAAAAAGGAGTTGGGCAATTTAATTGGAATTGCTTGTAGTAGGTATAAAAGTCTTGGAAGCACATTCATCTTGAGGATAGCCACTCTGCCAAACCAAGAGAAAAATGGTTTATCCCATTGTTGCAGATCTTTAGTGATGGTGCGCAAAAGGGGTAGAAAGTTTTTGGCGTAAAGCTCTGTGAGATGGGTTGGCAATTGAATTTCTAAGTATGTGATGGCTTCTGATTGCCACGTGAAAGGAAAATTAGATTTTGCTTGTCCAATTGTGTCCTGGGTCAGGGAAACATTAAGTGCTTGGGATTTATTAAAATTTATTTTAAAATTGGCCAGATACTGAAACAGATTGAAGTCTTGCAATAGATTACGTAGTATAGTATGTGGATGTGTCAAGAAGAGTAAGATGTCATCAGCAAAGGCTGCTATTTTATGAGTATTGCCATTGATAGAAATCCCGTTAATATTTTCATTCTGTTTAATACAATTCAAAAAGGGTTTCAACGTGAAATAAATAGGAGGGGGGATAGTGGGCAGCCCTGTCTGGTCCCATTTCTTATGGAAAAGGTTTCTGAAAGGAGACCATTGACTCTCACTTTAGCCGTCAGTGCAGTGTATAGAGACATAAACAAAGTTCAAAAGACGCGGAGGGAGCCCAAGGCCAACCAGTACTGCTTCCATGTAGTCCCATGCCATCTGTCAAAGGCCTTTTCAGCGTCTAAAGAGAGAAAAAAGCCAAATTGTTTCTTCTGTGTTAACCAGTGGTGTATGTTGATTGCCCTGATCGTATTGACTCTAGCCTCTCTATTGGGAACAAACCCCACCTGGTCAGTGGAAATGGTAGAGTCTATGATATGCAGTAAGCGATTGGTCAATATCTTGGCAAAAATCTTGAGATCGACATTCAGTAAGGAT